GGGGCAATTCAACCAATCAGATTTTTTTGGCCCGTAATTCGATCTAGGAACGTTACTTTTTTATAAAAAAAAGTTGGCCACAGATTCGAGGTAAAAGCCAGAATCTATCATCGATGATGAGATTTAGGTGGCAAGAGTAGCGGATAATAAAATTTACTAATCTCATCATAGTGTTGAAAAAAAATCAGCCCAACTTTCTGCTCAGAATGCTAAACTCAAACGTGTAGATAGATGCACTTGGGCAGAATAATGCAGTGTGACTGTGCTGATTTTGAATCGTGGAACTTCGTAAATAAGCAATTTGTTGACAGTTTAGAAACAGCACTTCTACGAGAAAGAGCTGAGCGAGTCTACAGACGAGCATTACTTGTTGTCCTTGCTATTAATCAAAAATATTTGTAAAATGCCTTTTCTCACATATGACTTTGTAGAACTTTTAAAGGACTACAATCTCATATGCGTAGCATCTCCGATCATCTTGTGGATGTGAATATGGATGGATGCATGTGTGAATGTGTAGTCGCCTATCAGTAAATTGATTCTAATTCTTTCAGAGTCTTATGAAAATAGAATTTACTATATACCATTAGATGCATCTCGAAAAACTCTACAACATAGTATACTTGGTTTCTCATTTTTGAATAGGACGCCTTATCGAAAGAGTCTTTTAAACATGGTGATCAGAACTTTTGGTACACCCTAAGTATTAAATCATGTGATAAATGTTCACAATTTAATGTGGATCGGCGTAAACCCCCAGGTTTTTACAACCTATTAAACCACCTAATGAAGTTTTTCAAGTATTAGGTATGGATTGGTGGGGACCCACCACCACTTCGCTTTCTGGAAATCGATATGTTTTCGTTATCACTGATCGTTTATCTGGTTATGTTTTTGCTAAAGCATCGCCTACAAATACAGCTCATGATACTGTTCGTATATTAATGGAAGAAATTATCTTAGTTCATGGTTCACCCGACACAATTATTACTGATCAAGGCACGCACTTCAAGAACGAACTCTTACAAGCTATTTCACATTTAGTTGGTTGTAAACACATTTTTTCGACACCATATCATCCACAAACAAATGGACAAACTGAACGATGGAATTCGACATTCGTAACACAAATCGCCAAATATTGTAATACTGATCTAAATAATTGGGACACATTTTTATCATCTATCGTTTATGCTTACAATAATGGTATACATAGCTCAACTGGACTTAGTCCATATTAACTAGCATTCGGACGACGACAACATTATCCATTTAATCCTCGTGCAACTACATTCGTTTTCAGCAAACCACATGATTATTGGACGCAAGTGATACAATATAGAACTGCAGCTTTAAAACAAGCAAAACAACATATAATACATCAACAAGAACTATCAAAAACTCGTTTTGATAAAAATGGATCGCATCCGAATTTCGTTCTAGGTGATCTTGTCTGGACGAAAGTTTTTGTTGGACGACACAAACTTAAAGCTCGATACATTGGTCCGGCTCGAATCGTTCGAATTCTCTCCCCACTATCATTCATAGTTGAAAATGCACATTTACAACAATTTCAAGTGCATTCAAACGATATCAAACGTGTATATTCTCGTGAATCATTCCAGACGTGATACAATTTTTCTATAACGAACGTCATCTGCTCACATCAAATACTCACACGATTTATTTAGTATTCATATCTTTTTATCTTGTTTATTTCAAATTTTCTTAACTTTCATTATCTAATTTTTTTTTGGTTTTATTTTTGCTATATTCATTTCGGATTTTTTCTTTTCATGGTGTTCGAATTGTTCCAATATCGTTTCTTATCTTTTACTTTGTAACTTTTTGGAGGGGGAAGTCTTATGTCAGTAGAGACATCTCCTGACATAAGACGGTTATCTTTATCCCTCTATCATAGTTAGGAGATAGAACCAACCATTGGAAGAGGAGAGAAAGAGAGAAAGAACATTCTTTGCTGCTTTGTGTTTTTGATTGATTCAGTGGTTTGTTTTTGCGAAGAAAGAAGGAATAAAGAAACTGGGGAAAAATGACCTAACACTATCATTCATTTTATCGATCTTTACAATGCTAAATTTCCCATCGAACCATTCTTTCAATCAAACATTTTCTTCTACTGCTATGCACTTGTTTTCATAGTTTCCAAGGAATTCTAATAGTAATGACTATAGTTTCCTTTCATTTTCACTATCATTCTCTTTCTTGCTTGGATACTTTTCTTTCCTTATGTTTACTAACTATGAGGGCGTATTCATTGGTAAAGTAAACTAGAAATGAGAGCAGTGTCCCTATTTCTTTGTTGAGTGTCACTAAATAACTCTCGGTAGAAATATATACAAACGTAGAAAATCTTTTCGTTTAGTGAAAACAAAAAGCAATAATGATAATTCACAAGCATCATATAGCGTATTTTATCTAGGTTCTAAGCAAATATTCAGTGCAAAACCAAACCTTGGATGATTTTGTGTAGTACATGGAAAGTTACAGCACCACAATCAACAAAATTTTTGGCTTTCTAAGCTTTGAACAAAGTTGTACGGAATATATTGATCTGAACATTAATGTAGATCTTCTTTTTGATCGAAGACGTCATTTTATCAAAGTTAACAAAGACTTTATCTAAATGATTTTAAAGAATGCCATTGTTCGTCCCACTTCGTCTAAAAAGATCTTCATCAATGATGATAGAACAATTTTCTCTTTAGTCATATACACTTTCAAATGGTTTTTTAACCTAGTAAAAAAGGATTCTCGATTTATGTTCTACTGCGTTGATACATTGAACAATATCGTTTTCTAACTAGCTGATATTCTCATCAAAAACATTCTAGAGTTTTCTGCACGCTACTGTCAGAATAATTTTTCTTCCATCTGTGTGCATTTCACTGAATTCAATAGTTATATGCACATTCCTTAATGCAAAGGGACAAAATCTCTATTCTAAATCTTCCATCCTTTTTGGTAAATGTATCTCAGGAATCGCAAGTCATTTAGATTTTTTCACTGCATTTCAAACATGTAAAAATATTATATTAAGAATAAAGAAAGTATAAATGTATTTTATCAAATTCATCAACAAGAGAAGTTGTCACATTTTCTTCTCATATCTTTTCTTCTGAAGCAGTCGATTTCAGATGTCCATAAACGAAAACGAGACTACAACATCATCAGCCGTGTTTACGGATCTTCCTATTCCTCCATGGATACGATTTTCTTTCATGCTTCCAATTAATATTATATCAATTTTTTGCACACTTTTACAGCTTTATTATATGTTGAAGAAACCTGTTTTGCGTAAAGCATTGAATAATCATTCATTTATCGTTCTTCTTATTACTGGACTAGCTACTCAAGCTATTGATGTTCCATTGTATTTGAATTATCTTCGTTTGGGATATGTTTGGCCTCAGACACCAGCACTATGTTTCATTTGGTGGTATACCGATGTAAGTACGTTTGAAGCAACAATTATGCTTATGATGTGGGCATCATTTGAACGATATGTTTTGATTTTTTACGAAAAGTATTTCTCTACCAGAACAAAACGTATCCTCTTTCATTATCTACCACTAATAATTTTCACTATTTATCCACTATTATTCGGCTTATTGGTTCTCGTTCTTGTCACATGTAACGATCAATTTTCATTCGATTATTCAAATGCCTGGTGTAACTATTCGCCTTGTTATTATTATAATACATTTCTTAGTCTATGGGATACAATATTTCACTGGATTATATGTAATATTCTGATTTTGATTTGTAATGTTGCAATTATTTTACGTATCATTTGGCATAGGAGTGTTCGCTTGAGACAACCGATACAGTGGCATAAGCATCGGAAAATGTTAATACAACTATTATCAGTCTCCATCATTTTTATCATTTTTAATATTCCTACTACTATTTACGAGTTGTTATTGTCCTTAGGAGTTATTCCAGAAGATGTAGATCCTCAAATATATTCTTGTCTGTTTTTTATTAGCTACTTCTCAATTTTACTCATGCCAATTTGTATGCTTTTTTCGTTGCCAAAAGAACATTGGTGGGATAAATGGATAAATCTATGGATTAATAGACAACGACGGCAAATAACCACCACAAGAACTTTGCGATCTCTGAAGATTGACAAAGAAGCTATTAACGATACTTAGGACGTCATTACCATACAAATAAACTGTATAAGTGCTTATGAAGACTCGTATATAACAAAGAAAACATTGTATCAGTTCAATTCAAATATTGATATCATTTCTTTTCATTAAAAATTTGATTTATTCATTAGTAAATGTTGTAATGTTACGTTTTTTATGGCTCAATATCTTATTTTTAGTTAACATTTGAGTCACAGGAAAGCTTTTTACCAAACGGCGTATCAAAAACTAACGTGAAAAACATATCAATTTGTTATTTTTTTTTATCTGGAATTGAAGATTAGTTCTAAAAATGATATATGGTGAGTCAAACATTTTGGGAACTTCATTTCAGTTTGTTCTTATATCCTTATCACCAATCTAAAAGTCGCCAAATAAGTAGGTTCGATCTTCATCAAAAAAAGGGAACATGAATGGATTAACATAAACCCACTATTGAGAAAATTATATATTAAGTAGAGTATCATTAAAAGATAAAGTAGATGCCTATGGCATCTGTGTTCAAAATGTCTTCCATTGTTCTTTTTGATATCTAATTCTTCGATTGTATCAATTATCACAAGCCTATATGTCTCAAAAATGTACAAATTTCCAGCTTTAAGTCATATGTAGGGGTGTCAATTTACATTTACGTTTCATTTAATTTACGCGTAAATTAAATGATAAGTAATTTATATTTATTATAAATGTAAATTATTTTGTTGCAAAATTTACATTTACAAATAAATGTAAATTATGATAATTTACATTTATTCGTAAATGTAAATTTTGCAACGAAATAATTTACATTTATAATAAATATAAATTTCTTATCATTTAATTTATGCGTAAATTAAATAAAAGTAAATTTAAATCGACACCCCATACCACAACCAAAAATCAATGGCGGTAGCATTCTAATTGTTTGAATAACATTGTTGAGTACTTTTACTTGGGGTGTCGATTTAAATTTACTTTTATTTAATTTACGCGTAAATTAAATGATAAGTAATTTACATTTATTATAAATGTAAATTATTTTGTTGCAGAATTTACATTTA